GAAAATATAATTTTATAGTTTAATTTATTAAATAGTTCTATATCTAAAATATATTTGAGAATATTTAAATTCTAATATTAATTTATTATAAATATTATTAAATATTAAATTATAATTAGTACTTAAATTATTAATATTAAAATTTATAATAAGCCTAAAAAGATAAAAACTTTATTTTAAGAATTAATAGCTTTATAATACTAAAATATAAAGAATTAATTTAAATAACTTATATATTACTATTTTTAAATTAAATATAGCTTTTAAATATTTAATATATAAGTAATATATAAATAGTATTTTCAGATTGAGTTATTTTTTTAAAAGATTATATTAATTTATATTATTTTATATAATAATAAATAATTTCTATAAATAAAAATAGTTTATTATAAAAAAGTAAATCTTTAAATAATTCTGATTTTTTTATATTAAAAATAATTAAAGAAATTATAAAAGGCTTTAATAACTTAATTATTTCGATTTATATTAAGAGATTCGAGTTTAATTTTCTTAATCTAATTTCTTTTTAGTTCCTAAAATGTTTTTTATTTTATTATTCTTTTTATATTTTTTTAATGTTTTTAAAATTTATATTTCTTTTTATTCTTATTTATTAATAGTAATATTTTAATTACTTTTTAGATAAGCAAATTAAACTCTTATATAAGCTAGGCTTATTATTTTAAAATAAATATTATTTAAAGTTCTAAAATAATATTTGGCTTTAAATTTTATAAAATATAATTTAGTTTTATAATTTTATTTTCTAGAATTTTAGACTTTATATTAATAAATCTTATTTATCTTAAAATAAAGCCTTTATAATCTAATAATAAATAGTATTATAATATAGTCTTATTTCTTATTTATATATTTAATAATAATACTTTTATTAGAATTTTTTTATTAATTATTTTAATTATAAATTTAAAAGCCAAACTAGTATTTTTAATCTTATTACTAAATTAAATAAAAATATATTTTATTCTTTAATATATTAAATAAATAAATCAAAAATAATAGCTTTTATTTTTATTTTATTTAAATTTAAAATTCAATACTATTATTATATTTATATTTTATTTAAGTTATTTATAAATAATATATATAATCTATTTATATAATTGAGCTAGTCTAATTAAATAAAGCTTTAAAAAAAGCTTATATTTAGTATTATTTTACTGTTTAATAAATAAATTAAATCTTAATAATAACTAGTTTATTTATTATAAAAAACTAATATTTAAATAGCTTAGTTTATATAAGGCTATTTAATAAAAACCTCAGTTTTTTTTAAATTTAAATATATATTAATTTATTATAATTAATTAATTTCTATATAGCTTTTATATAATTATTTATATTATTTATTTTATTTAAAATATTTATTATTTATATTATTTATAAATAATTTTTAAATAATTTTTAAATAATTTAAATAATTTTTTAATAAATATATACTTTTCAAATTAGCTTAATTAATATATATTATATTAATTTATAGTATTTAATATTAGTATAAACTAATTTAGTAATATTAGAAAAGAAATTTCAAGAATATAAAAATTAATAAAATACTAGAAATTAAATAATTACTAATATATTATAAAGTTTTAATTAATAATATTAATATATATATTAATAAATAATTCTAATACTATATTTTATAATTAGTATATATATATAGCTATAAATATTAAAATAAGTTTTATTTTATATAATTCTTATATATATTTTTGGTTTAAATCTATTATAATATTTGTAATATTTTATTATTATTTTATTATTATTTTATTATTATTTTATTATTATTTTATTATTATTTTATTATTATTTTATTATTATTTTATTATTATTTTATTATTTCTTTATTTTAAGTATTTATTTTAATTTATATATTAAAATATTTCGCTTAAAAAAGAATTTTAAAGAATTTAAAGAATATATTCTTAATTTATTTTATAATATATATAAAATTATATATAACTTAAAAATATATAATAAATCTCGAATATTATAAATAGTAATTAGAAAGATTAATAATTCTTTAGTATTATAAGTATTAGATTTATAAATTACTAATTATATATATATTATTAGAGTTTTCTATTTAGAAAAAGCTTCTTTAGACTTTATAAAAGAAATAGAAATTAGTTTTATACTAAATTTAATATTATAGTTTTATAATTTACTAAATTATTCTATTATTCTATTATTTATTAATAAATATCTTATAAGCTAATCTCTTTATTTTTTTAAAAAATAGTTTAATAAATAATTATATCTCGAAATCTATAAAATCTATAATTCTTTACTAAAGCTATTTCTATAAAAGAAATTAACTAAATTAATTTCAATATAAATAATAGTAAAGACTTATCTAATACTTTTAATAAGGCTCTTTAGAAGCCTTTATAAATAATTCATAATAATGAAAATAATTCTAATAATAATTAAAATACTGAAATTAATATCTAAATTAATATTATTTAAATTATAAAATAGAACTTATATATTAAGGTTAAAGTATTCTAATAAAAGCAAGAATTAATAAATATAATTAATTAATAAATTCAATAATTAGAATAATATAAGAATATCTTTAAAGCTATTTTATATTTTATTATATTTTATAAAAACTCTATTTATAAATCTATTTTATTTTTTTTTGTAATTTTTATTAGAAAGCTTTCTAAAATAGAATTAGAATCTATTTCTTTTTCTAATATAATAAGCTTTAAAAGTAATTTTAATACTATTTATTAGAAACTATTATATAATATTTTAAAAGTATATTTAAATTAAAAAAAGCTTTTTAAAATCCGGATATCTAATTTATATTATAAAAAGTCTTTTAAAAAATAGAAAATATTTGTATTTTTCTAAATAATAGTCTTTAGAATCTAATTTTAAATTTATAATAGATACTTTTCTAGAATTAATTCTATTATAAATATTTTTAGAAACGAATCTTATAATATTTAAAAAATTATAATAAAATAAAAATTATTATATAAGATTTATTAGAAATTATTTAAGGCTTATTTAGCTAATATATTTCAAATATTTCAAATCTATTAATAAAATACTTTTAAGAAACTTCGAAATCTTTATTAGAAAAATAATAAAATAATTACTAAATTATATATTTAAATAATTAGTTTTAAAATTAACTAGAACTTATATTTTAAAAAAGGCCAAATTCTAACTTTTAATACTAGAATTTATATTTTTTCTAATATAATAAGCTTTAAAAGTAATCTCGATATTATTTATTAAAAGCTATTATATAATATCTTAAAAATATATTTAAATTAAAAGAAAGTTCTTTAAAATTCGAATATTTAACTTATATTATAAATAGTCTCTTAAAAATAAAGAACTTTTATATTCTTTTAAAGAAAGTAGTTTTTAAAATCTAATTTTAAATATATAATAAATACTTTTCTAAAATTAATTTTATTATAAATACTTTTAAAAATAATTCTTATAATATTTAAAAGGCTATAATAAAATAAAGTCTATTAATATATAAGATTTATTAGAAGTAATTTAAGGCCTATTTAGCTTATATATTTTAAATATTCTAAATCTATTAATAAAATGCCTTTATAAGACTTTAAGACTTTTATTAGAAAAATAATAAGATAATTATTAAGTTATATATTCGAATAACTAGATTTAAAATTAATTAAAATTTATATTTTAAAAGAAATTGAATTCGAACTTTTAATATTATTATTAGTATAGCTAATATTTCGAGAGTTATATAATATAATTATATAACTCGAAGATATTAGAATATAAATAATAAAATATAAATAATAAAATATAAATAATAAAATATAAATAATAAAATATAAATAATAAAATATAAATATAAATAATAAAATATAAATAATAAAATATAAATAATAAAATATAAATAATAAAATATAAATAATAAAATATAAATATATAACTTTGTATTATATATATAACTCGACTAATAAACTAGTTCTAATTAAGCTTAGTAATTTAAAGAAAGTATATTAATATTATAATACTATATTTCTTACTTTTAAATATTAATTACTTTATTAACTTATATATTAAGTACTTTATATATATTATATAATAGTATTATATATTACTAGTAAACTAATACTAATTAATTAATACTAATTAATTAATACTAATTAATTAATACTTATAAATTAGAGAAAAATCTTGCTGGTTAAAAAAGTATTCGGTAGCGTAAAATAAAGCAAGTCTATTTCTCTATTTCCCGCTGCACTCTTAAGGTCTTCTTCGAATAGATGTTAAATCAACGCCGGGGGAAAGTGTTGCATGGCAACTATATGCTGGTAGTCACGTGCAGGCTCACGTGACTACACTCCTGTATTTAAGCTTTGGCCACTCCTGCCACACCTCTCTTTCCTTTTGATCTATCTATATATTATTATTACAATATAACAACAATGTTTTATTGTAACAGAAAGGTAGGAGGAGGCTTTCAGGCATTAAGTCGGCTAGCACGCTCGGGACATACTGGAAGGTCTTCCGGCTCGTGCATGAACGGGCGATTGTGGGGAAGATTAAGGGAAGGATGAACCGCCACATGCATCAGGTGAGTAGCGCTTCTTGTCTGCCTCTTTTCGTCGATCTAAAGAGGCAGTCCATACCGTCACGAAGGACAAAATATCTCCAATCGTGTTGAATTCTCAATGCGAGAGAAGCAAAGCTCGGTATATTTTATTGCTGTTAAGTTTATGTCCTGATTATGTATACTGACATATGGTCACAACGAGTTTCATATCCAGCCTCCGTGTCTTCTTATATTTTCAGAATAACACTGCCCCTCTTGCTCTGATTCCGGCATCTGTCATTGCCGTCTACTCAGCAGCTGCAGTTATTATTCGATGACTGAGCAGTCCCTGAAGTCGTAAAAATAACCAGAACGGCTGCATAGCTGTAGACTGTTAGCTTATGTCGTTCAGGGATCCCACTGGATGTTCTTACCTCGCACCGGTAATGAAAATGTCAATAGTGCTAGCCTTCGTGAAAAGAGACACTGAGGAGAGGAGAATTCCTGAGGACAGAACGATTGTTGCCAATCTCCCCTCGGAGCTAGCGATAGAATTCAATGCTATAACTGGGACAAGCAGTATTAATGTCGCAAGCCACGTCGTGATAGACCGACTAATACTTCGGAGCCATGGACCAAGAATTAGTATATTACCATCCCGCGGAACCTTTGTGAGGCGTGCCTTACATCTCCAAGGGAGATACTTGTAATGCTTAGCATTCTCATTTGTCATGTGCGCAACTCTTCGAAGCACTTACTCTGCGAATAGCAAAGTCGATCCAAAACAGTGAATCTTCAACTATTGATTCCATACGGGTGATAGCGTTGTCTGCCGGCCCACTCAGGTTCATAAGATCGTCGCAGTCTTCAAGGTAAGCCGATTCTTGACGTGTAAGACAAGAGGTGCCTTCAATCCAGTTCCTTAGATTTTGGACGTCCCTCTGGCTGGATTCTGGGAGTGATAAGCTTCGGTGATTTTGATCCACCATACTGTCTTGAGGGCTTGGTCAGATGTAGTCCTAGTATTGAAAGCTTGAGAGGCAATACCATATTCAGCCAGAGACAACTTCAACTGTCGCAGAATCTCTTGACGGGCCGGGTTCGCATCTCGACGCCTGCATCCCAGGAAGAGCTCGCATTCCTCTGCAGAATCTATCTTATCCAATGACTCTTCAAGCACAGCAATTTCATCTTGTTTCAGGAGCAACAATCTCAGCCGTGTCCGAGTAAATCGCCGGAAATTGTGGAAAGAAGGATGTGCGCTGAGAAGTGCGGTATACCGAGGGTAACCAGGCCGGAATTCCTCGACTGCATTATGTGTGAGGACTTTCACGCCTTTGCAATTGCTGTGGGGATTACCATAAGATGCCACCCTCGTCGATACTCGTTCTCGCATAATTTGTTTGACAATAATAGCCCATTACAAGATGTTTCAAAGCCTCTTAACAATTTTGCAAAGTATAATGCTTTCCTTCCCTTAGCTATTCATCCTTATGGAGGCTTGGTCCTGACGCCGAGAGAGCTTTTCCACTACAACGTGCATTCTTCGCTTCACTTAAGCGTCGCGAGTCGCTGGTGCAGCACGACTTTCTCCTCTTATGATTAAAACTTGTTTCGCTAAATCCCTATCTGGAGTTTTTGCTCCTCCATAGTATTTCAAAACGAGAAACTTGTAACCTACTTTCGTGTTGACAAATAATTGGACACCAATTTATGCAATCAATACCACTTGAGGCTACAATGCCGAGTTCACCCTAGGTTTTCTGCAGGCTCGCAGCATTGTTCACCAACCACTTGTAATTTACTATATTTTCCTCCTCCAACGGGTCGCCTTGACATCTGGTGCATGATTTGAGCCGATCCTAGAAGCTACGTGTCACCTTTGCACAGAACACCACTGTGCAAAACAGCGGTAGAGTGCTGGCTGCACCAAGAAAGAGGAGTACTTTTGGGGCTCTTTGACTATTGCGGGCGTCTGACAAGGAAGTATTCACCCTTGCTGGATACTGGGATGGGACATGCGTCTCAGGCTTTCTTCGGGTATGCTTGCATCGCCGACTGACCACTTATCGTAATACACGTACATATTGTGTGCGCACCAATATGCCACGCCACAAAACATGATCACTCAGGCTTCCGGTATCCTGCTGATGGTATTGCTTTTCGAAACCTGCGTCTTGGTCCCCACATTTGACACTGCCCATTTCCCTGTGGTGAAGATGGAGAAAGCTCAGCCACCAGCAGAGGGAGCGAATAAAAATGTTAGTGCCGCAACAATTCATCTCCAGGCTCTTAACAAGGCTGACTGGTACGCTCTGAAGCCTCCCACTACTCCTGCAAAGCTTGAAGATGGCGAAGGGCGTCCCCGAATTCCCAAATACGCTACTGTAAAGACCTAGTGATCATCAATACTTGCTACAAATGCTGACCACTACCCAGGGCAACAAGTTCCGCGTGGGAGACAGCGTCTATATTTCAAGTGCAGGAGGTCGGTCGTTGGAAGGACCATACCTGGTTGCCAGTGTGCCAGAGCCTCAAAAGTACACATTGAGCTTCGATAATGGAGCAAGAGTTGAGGAAGGCAGAACCTTCGATGAGAACAGCCTTCAATTCGCTTGAATTACAATGTCACTACTGTTCCTCATGTTCTATAAGTATTTCATTCAAGAGAATATTTGAAAATACCTATGTAATTGCCATTCCCTTCACTAGCTTACCAAGGACCATCTCCTTGAAAGAGCGTGCTAATTCTGATTCCGTATCCATGCTGAAGTCCGAATTAAGACATGCTTCCACGGCAGCCTTATAACTTCTCCCCGCATAATGAGAAAGTCTTTCTGCAGCCGCTATTCGTAATTTTTGTGCCATCGCCCGTGCTGATACGATTCCATTCTCTTTCGTATTCACAATGACAGATGCTCTCTGCCAAAGCCCAATTTCAAGAAGGACAACGCCCAGAGAATAAATGTCATGGATTTTGCGACGCCCATTTCGTGTTTCACCTTGCCTGGCCGGGCGACGGTAGACGTTAAAAGCTACATCATCTGCTGCATATCCGACGGAAGGATCGGAATCTGGGCGTGCAAATTCAAATCCACCGAGGAAGGGACTTGAGTAATCTATTAGACCGTCTTTGAAGCTAAAGAAAATGATGTTAGGACTGCTGATGCCTTGATGTAACCAGCCCACGGAATGCCATTTCCCAACTGCTTTGGCCAGGAGAAATGCCATTCTGAATCTTTCGTCGAGGGAAGGTCGTGTGGATCCTCTTTGTTTTTGGATGATTGATTGCAAGGTTTGGTATGATTTGTTCTGACTCTCGTAGATGCTGGGAATCTCGAAATGAAGCACGTATTGATGTTCAATATTATTGTGAGACCATTGAGTACATCTTAGCGAACGAAAGTCGGAGCTCTTTGGTGCATTCAATAGTTCTGCCAAGCGGCATACTCGGTTTGTCAAGGCTGGGATCTGAGCCGGATCCACGTATGGACCATACTTCCGATATTCCTGCATCATAGCATAGCCTTTCTCATTCTCTTTTCCTGGAGATTCTTCAGAGACGACATCAGATGGTGATGTCTCTGAAGCACAAATCATTTGTCGGAGTCGTAGTTGATCTGCCATTCCGAGCGTGGTGGCAGCAGTACTGTTGATTGCTTCCTCTGCTAACATGGGGACGTACAAGAGCTTCTGCTCCAATAGATCCACGAAATCAGAATTCTCTGTATCGAGTTTCTCAAGGAGTCTCTCGGCCAGCTTTTGAGCTATTGGAGTGTCTCTATATGGTTGACGAAGGCCTCTCTGTTCCACCAATATCCCTTTCAAGATGGCCAACGCACTGTCCCATGCACTCAGAACGTCTACCACAGCTGGATCCTTCAATCCTTTTATAAGAGGTTCATCACCTTTGCGAACTCCTTCAATGAAACTCTGAATGAATTTCGTTGTTTGAAGAACCTTTTCGACATGCAAAGTCGCTACCGTGGAAGGCATATACTCACCAAGCCATCGCCCAATCTCATCTAGATCCGACTTTTCTAGCTGAGCTCTCGTTTTGATGAGGAGCTGGAAGGAAGGTCCACTCGCTTCATGGTCAAGATTGGGTTGTGCATTTCGGCGAAGTGGCTCCAGACATATTGATTTTTGGTCTTGACCCAGGTTCACGTGAATTGGGGTTGCAAAGAGATCACTCTCCCGAGACATCAATCGCCGATTGAGGTCAGATACTGTTACTTGTCCATCTTTCTCCAGGCCAGCGGTGATTACTCTGATGAGAGCTGTAGTGAATGAACGTGGCCCTGGCAGCGGGGTTTTCACGCTCATAGCTGCTGCGGCAAGAAGCTCAATTCGAGTGGGCGTTTGCTCTCTCCCTCGGCCAGCTTGACCCGCAAAACAGCAATCAAAGAGAAGCAGTATATGTGTTTCAGTCGTCAAGATGCTATCCTGAATGCGAAACCATTCCAGCGTGGGTTCACCTTCACTCTTTCTGTTTGATGGTAAGCCAGAGTACTTTTATCTTCAGCCAATTGACACTTACGCAGCCCAAACCGATCTTTTCTGCTCCCCGCTGTGTTTGTCATCATTCCTATCCCCATGCCCACCATAGTGTATTATGATCAAAGATGTACCCCGCTGCTCTTTTGCGTAGGTGCTGACCTCGAGAAGCGAACTTGCAATAAAATTGAGCAAATTCAAATGGCTTTCTGAACTCGGAATAGCAAATTCGTCCATAGCAAAACCGAATTTCTCTTTATCAGCAAACATTGCGCCCAGTTCTCGTCCTTCTCTTTTGAATCCTGCATCCCCTTCCTCCCAGTACACGATCAAGACTTTGACATAGACATAGCTCCTCGAACGAGCAGACAATTCTATTTGGCTATTGATGTGTTTCTCCCAGTCCTCGTTAATCTTATTGCTCGAAGTTGCCATTTGTTGGCAGGTACATGTGGTATACAGGACTTATATTCTTCGGTGAATGTGTCCAGCGACGTGCCAACCCCAGCCTCACTGGTCACTAGAGAAGAAAATCAGGGTCCAGAGCCTTATGATAAACCTCCGACTGTGGACCGCCGTGAGTTACGAGAATGTGTAGAGAAGATTGACAACCTGTTCGTTTGGGAGTTCTGGTGTCTCCGAGCCGACTCCCGAGCAGTGATTCCGAGTGTTCTGGAAGACATCCAAATCGGTCTACAGAGAAAAATAGCCCAGAGGGCTTTTTGGTGTTCAGTCAGCCTAAGGTTCGGGAAGCGCTGACTGGCGAACCATGATACCTTGTTGTTGGTCGTACTGCATATTGAGCTTGTAACGAATGCGGACTCCTGCATGGCCACGCGGCATATTTCCTTTTAATGCGGTGATCGAAGGGAAAAGGTTGTCTTTGAATTGCGAATGCTACAGTATCAATGCTACAAGTCTATCATCCATAGGAGAACATCATGAGCAACAGAGTCATTGTCCCAGAATATAGTATCGCATCAAACGATGCCTCTTCACTTCTCGATTTTTCGAGCATACGACCATCTCGACAGCCCCAGGACACTCGCTCCACAACTTCTACATCGCAGAACAACCAAACAACAAAATTAGCAACATTCGTCAACATTCTAAAACGCAGCGGCCTTCCTGGACCCGTCATTCTCCTGGGCGACAAAAAATTCCTCGGAGGCGGCAGTCAGTTCGCTGTCTACAAGCAAACCCACGCATGGAATGATCCCAACGATGGTTTTCGAACTAGAGTAGTTGCAACAAAACAACCTAAAGTGCCTCTAGATTCAAATGTGAGATTGAATCATGCGGATCCAAGAGTTACTCGGCATCTTGAACATGTGTTGCTTGAGGTCCTGTCTGCGAGGGACTCGGCTTTGCTGGGACATCCTAACATCGCGCATCCGTTTGCGTGGTCATTCGACTCCTTGGGATTTCATTCCCCGTTTGAACTGGTGATGGAACTGGCAGACTGTGATCTTGGGGCTTACCTTGTAGACGAGGGGAGAGACGTTTTGTTGTCAGAGAAGTTCTGGATGTGTCGTGATGTTGCGGCGGGTTTGGATGCTTTGCATGACTGTAAGCTCATTCATGGCGATTTGAAATCAGGAAATACATTGTTGTACCGTCGAGAGAATCGTATGGTAGCAAAGCTGGCTGACTTTGGACTTTCTATTGATACTATGCAGACAGATGCACGTCTGGGGGGTACGTTTGGATGGCAAGCGCCAGAGGTCGAACTTGGGAATGTTTTGATACCAGAGGACATGCCTTTATGTGATAGCTATTCGTTTGGGTTACTCGTGTGGAGCATGCTCTTGTATGCTGGCAAATGTCCGCCTCGCTCAGAAAAGGAGAATCGAAAGGCGATGGCCTGCAAGCAGATCGAGGATTCAAGAGACGCCATTGGTCTGCATGCCAGCTCGCCTCTTCCAAGTATTATTTTCAATCTGCTGGATGAAACAGGGAAGAGGCCAAGGGAGCTAGAAGACTTGTTTGAAAGTATGACAGAAGGCTACAAGAAATTGTAAGTCAAGCCTTATCGATCTCTGGTCGCTTCCACATTCTGACAATCCTGGCAGCGATGCACATAGACACTTCATGAAGACAAATCCTAACAGAGGCATTGGTGCAGCTCCAGCTCCTGAAATATGGAAGAGACCCTTCGCATGGGAGATGCCTATATTCAACTCAAATTTCGTTGTCGATCTTTACTCCCAGTTTAAAAAAGACCCGTTAAGTCTTCCTGGCGACATGCTGTTCGCCATGTACCAGCTCATGACTCTTGCACCACTGCAGATTACCGATCCTCAGAAGGCAGCTTTAGATGTCTTGGTAGCTTCTGCGCTCCATGGGTATGAGCCCGCTCAAGCGATTGCGCCGATGGCATACCGAATTCTTAACTTAGAGACCCCTAAAACAGTCACTGATGATATGGATATGTGGTTGGAGAGGGCAGTTGCTAGCGGTTCTACTCTTGCCAAGAATCATCTAAAGACTAGCAGTCAAGTTGCGATTTCGCGTGCCCTTGGGCACTTTCGAAGTACTGGTGGATACAATTTCATCTACTGCACTGTCGACATGCTGGCAGATCCTGGCCAGACGTCGTGGAACAAAGGATTCTTGAAAATTCACTGGTTGGCAGCGTATGGATCGCCTAAAGACTTACGAAGCTACTTGGCTTCTGAAAAGGATTGCGAGATAGACTCAATGACAGAAAATGAAGAGACCCCGTTATATCTGGCTTGTGCGCGGGGATCTTGGGATATCACTAGTATGCTATTGGATCATGGAGCTAGCGCTTCCATCAAATGCACGAGATTTGGGATTACGTGTCTTCACTGGCTCTTTTCCTTCGACGAAGAACACCAGATGGAAGTAGCAAGACGACTCATTCAGTGCGAAGCAGATATCGACGCGGTAGCCTCGCATCCAGTACCTTTCCTTCACTACCCATTTCTTCTACGGACGGGAACTCCGCTACATTGGGCAGTCGCAACCTTCAGTCATGAAACCATACGAGTGCTTATTCAAAGCGGAGCCAATTTGTTTTTGCGAGATGGATGTGATCCATATAGCCACGATGACCGCGTTCGAGTACTGGACAGATTCGACTCCCCAGATCTGAGGCCCTTTTCGACCCCACAAATACCCACACAAGGCTTGTCTCCTTTAGACTTGGCTGCAACACAGCACGATACTTTCATCTTTGAGGTTTTGCTTTCGCTTTCAAAGCAAGTTGATATCAATGCCGCTGACGAAGAAGGCTTCACCGCGCTGCATCGACTATGCAGCGAGCCGATAGGGCGGACAAGAGATGGGAATGCATTCAACATCTTATCTTTTGGAGGACGCGGGGATAATTCAGATGAGAAGCTCAATCGTGTAATGGGTGCTATCAAGGCATTAGGTGGGGACCTGGAGAGACTTACCACTCCATCAGATCCCGAATCAAGAAGATATACACCACTCATGCTCGCTCATCTCATACGCGACCCAAAGGTTACCAGGGTCTTGCTGGCAGCTGGAGCAAGCGTATCGGCAGAGAATAATCTGGGCGAAGCGGCCCTTCATTGTCTACCACAAGATCCGACATCTTCCTTGGAGTGTGCGAAGCTTCTCGTTTCATATGGCGCAGATGTCAACCATCGTGACTCCAGAGGTTCAGCGCCTATCCTGAGAGGTGCTAGTTATGGGCTACTCGACACCGTAGAATTCTTTCTCTCCGCTGGCGCGGATATAGATGAGCGAGTTTACGGCTCACCTATGGTTGGTACAGGCACTAATTTCTTTGGAATGCTAGCACGCTCAGACTACTCATACGAGAGATCCATTTATGACAGGAATGGAGACGAACGAGTTGCCCGACTTTTGGAGATTTATGTATTTTCCTCTCCTGATGAAGAGAAGAAGCGGAGAGTGGTAGATGTAGGGAATTTGTGGGGGGAGACTTTGCTCCATCACTTTGCAAAGCGGAACATGCCTCGTTGTACAGAGGCTTTATTGCGGCAGAATGCACCGGTGAATGCCCTTCACGAGTTTTTCATCTATTTGCCAATGACGAGAATAAAATCGACAGTATGGTATGAGACACCTTTGGATTCGGTGTTGGCGGCGAAAGCATTACGAGAACGTAACATGTCTCTTCATCGGGAATGGTCTGTTGAAGAATACAATCGTATAGTGGGAGTGAGCAACGACATAATACAAATGCTGAGCGGAGCTGGAGGGAAAACGACCCCTCAGGCAGCATGAATGCACAATTGAGCGAACCTAACTCGAAAAACTTTCCTCTCTTCACGAACCAAGCCCCGCCTCTGTACCCCAGACAATCTCAAGAATACCATCAAGCAAAAAGTGAGCCAAAAATGTTTCATTCCCAAAAAAAAACTTGGGACTGGCCCGCTTTTCTGCATGAACTTCTGACCTCACCCTCGTCCGCAATTACTACCCCCCCTTGAATACTTACAGTGGGTCCTTTAGTAACGCCACCCTGAAACCTCGTTTATAACCCCCAACTAGGAAATATCAGGTGCTCTCCAGGATCGCTATTGGCCATACACCCTTGAGTTGGTCAGTGCAGGAGTGGTGTTATCCCAGGACCCACTGTAAGTATTCAAGGGGGGGGATAGTACAACCCTTCAATCTCCCCCAAATTTCGACAAGCTTCAGCTTGCCGTAAAGCACCTCCAAATTCTCACAATTGCTTGAATGCGGCATCATTTTCCAGGAGCTCAGTGTGGGAAATGAGTAGAGTAATATATACGTAATACTACAGGTAATATTATATGTAACAGGCTAGCCTAATTTAGTAAGGCTCTGGGGCGGCCCGGGCCTAGCGCTACTATATTGCTTAATTAAGTAGTAGCAAGGCTTAATAAGTAAGGTAAAGCCTTTATAATATCTCTAGAACTATTATAACTTATATATTACTAATATAAGAGCTATAAATTAGAAGCTAAAGAACTAAAACCTTTAAAATATAAGAATTCTTTATAACTAGAAAAATAATTAAAAAGCCTTTAAAATATTAGAACTTTTTATAAAAATATATAATTACTTGTATGTCTTTAATTATTACTCTTATAATTATTTTTATATATATTTAATATATTAAAGAACTATTTATAAGTAATATAATATTCTAAAGAAATAATATAAGTTATTATAAGTAATAATTAAATAATAAAGGTAAGCTAGGGCTTATATAAAACTAGCTAAATAATAGTTTTCTATAATAATAAACTAATTACTTTCTTTAAAATCTTGATTTTTTTTAACTTTTAGTTTATTTACTAAATAATATTATTATTTAATTAAATAAAAATATATTATTAAAATAGTATTAAATAATATTATTACTTAATTAAATTAAGATATATTACTAAAGTAGTACTAGGTAAGAGACTTATTTAATTAAATTAGCTTATTATATATTACTTATATTACTTATATTACTTATATTACTTATATTACTTATATTACTTATATTACTTATATTACTTATATTACTTATATTACTTATATTACTTATAAGTAGCTTAGATAAAATAATAGTCGGATTTAATATTATAACTAAAAAAAAGCTCTTTTCTTTAATTAGAAAAAGCAAATTAGCTTATAAAAGTAAAATAGCCTATATTAAAATATATAAATTTAGAATCTATATATAATTCCTATAATAAAAATCAATTAATTTATATATTACTAGTCTATAAAATTTATTTAATTTAATTATTTTATTTATAAATATATTTTTATATAATATATTAGAAAAGAATAAGTTTTATAAAACTATCTAATTCCTAAAAGAAAATCCAGAGAAAAGTTCTATAATTATTATATATATATAAATAGTATTAAAAGCAAAAATACTATATAAAAAGTATAATAAAGAAAACGAAAGAGAATAAAAAAAGAGAAAATATAATAAAAAGGCTAGAATAAGATTATATATTCTAATTAATATAAGGTATTAATTTAGTATATAGTATTATATATAATTAATAAAAGAAAAGAAATTATAAAATAAATAATATATAACTATATAATATAGATATAAATAGAGAATAATAAAATAAGTCTCTTTTAAAAATAGTTCTTTTAATAACTAAAAAAGTATTCTAGAACTTTATATAATTAGAATAAAGCCTATTATAAGCTATTATATTAATTTTTATATTAAATAAAACCTTTATAATTAGTTTCAACCCGAATATTATTCGATATTTAAAGAAACTAATATATATTATAATAATTAAATATATAATATAAATAAGAAAAAAGCTCGAATTTATATATTTATAGAAAAAGAAATAGTTATTCTAATTAGAATTAAAGAAATATATATTAGAATACTAGAAGATTATATATTTCTTATAATAATTAAATCTATATTTATAAATAATAAAGTAATTCTACTAATAGTTATTATTTTTAAAATTATAATTATAGTTTTTTAGTTTTATAAAAATATAATTAATTATAAAATTATTATAATCTCTATTATTATAATCTCTATTATTATAATCTCTATTATTATTATTATAATCTCTATTATTATAATCTCTATTATTATAATCTCTATTACTAAATATATAAATAAGGGTATTTATATAGTTTAATTAAATTATATTATTAAATATAATAATTATAGTTCGAATAAAAAATAATATATTCTTTTAATTATTAAAAAAACTTATTATTAAATAAATAATTTTATCTTAAAAGTTATATTTAATAAAATATAAATTATTTAATTTTTCTTTTACTAATTTTGTTTATTTTAATTATATAATATTAATATTTTTAAGAAATAGAAATACTATTAATAGATTAATATTATAAATATAATTCGCTTATATAAACCAGAATATAATATCTAGTACTTTTTTTGCGATTTTCCTAAAATAAAATAAAAAGATATTTACTATTTATATAATTAAATACATCTTTTAAAATACTAAAATTTGGCCTATTAATTTTAAAATAATATAGAGAAAACTCAAGAAGTATAATTAAAAGAAAAGAAAAAATATTAGCTTTTAATTTCTAAAGTTTGAATTTAAATTAAAAACTAAATTAGATATAGAAAATATATAATTTATTATATCTACTCTTATTTCTATTTATAAATACTAATTACTTATTTTTCTAAAACTTTCTTCTTTATATAATAAATATATTCTATTATTTAATAATCTTAATAATATAATTCTAAATACTTTAAGCTTTTCCTTTTATAAAAAATATTTAGTTATAATTAAGGCAATTAAGAACTATTTAATACTTGAAAATTTATAAGAACTAAATATCTAGAATATTTATAAGACATAAATTAAATATTATAAAGCTAAGCTAAATATATAACTTAATTTCTAAAAAAGAAAATAAATAAATATATCTAATATTCTAGTAAAAAAGAAAATTAAAATAAGGAAAATAGTAAAGAAAGAGCTAAAAAAAAAAGTAAAGAAATAGCTTATAAAGGCCAAATTAGCTAGGAAAAAAAAGACTCTAAAACGAATTAAAGTTATTATATAAGTAATAGAGAGAGAAAAGAAAATAATAATAAAGAATTTAAAGATATAGGCTAGAAAGTAAATTCTTGAAATTAATATAATTATGTCTTTTAAACTTCTAATATTAATTTATAATTCCTAAAACAAACCTATAAAAAACGAGATTAAAGCTATTTAAATTAAATACTAATTACTTTATAATAAGATAATTAAGAAGCAAGCTAAATTCGATTATATATAAACTAAAAATCCTATAATCTTTATAAATATTTCTATTAATTTTATAATACTTATATTAAAATAAGTTTATTATATAAAAGGAAACTCTTTTAATTAATTATATATAAGAGTAATATTAGTAGAATCTAAGAAATTAGATAAGGAAATAGAAGAAATAAAAGAGAATATAAATAGTAGAATTAATAAAAGAGAAATAGTTTTATATTTTTTATTATCTAGATTAGTAATATTAACTAATTTTATAATATTAAAATAATAAAATGTTATATTTTTAATTATTTATTATATAATATAATATAATTATCTATAGTTATATAGTTTTTTTGGTTAGATACAAGCTATTATACTTTTATAAGCTAATTTACTTTCTTTAACTAAATAAAAGAACTTCTTTTAATTATAATATTAAATCCGACTTTTATAAATAAAAAATAAATATAATAAGTTAAAACCCGATTTATATATTTAGCTAAAAGCCTATATTAGATTATATAATAAAGGCTAGAGCCTTTATTATATAATATATTTCTTTAAATTAATAAAGTAATTATATATTATTTAGAAAACTCAAATATTTTAAAGAATATAGTTCTGCTTTTTTATTTTTATTTTTATTTTTTCTTTAGAGAATTCTATTTAATTAATTAAACTACTAGTTTTCTTTATATAAAAGCCCGGTTTATAATATTAGAATTCGTTTTCTTCTATTTTTACTAACTAAAATTATATATATATAAAATTAGAAATAAGAAATACTTGAATCTATATATAGAAAATAAAGCTTAAATAAATAAAGCCAGAAATAAACTATATTTAAAACTATATATAAAGTTAATACTTTAGTAATATTTTAGAATATATAAAAGCTAGTAATAGAAAATATCTGAAATTATATATAAAAGCCAGAATACTAATTTAATTAGTTAATATTAGAAATTATTTGGGTTTTTCTAAATTCAGCTTAAGAAAAAAAACTATTGAATTTTTTATTATATAAAGCTAAAATAATAAATAAAGCTCTTTAATAGCTATAAGAAGCTTTTATAATATAATTCTAGTAGCTATTAGAACTAGCTATATAATAAATAAGTTTAATAATAAACTTAGTTATATAAATTAAATTAATTAATAAATATATAATAATCTCGAACTTTTTATAAATATAAATACTTTTTCTATTTTATATATATTTTTAATTTATTTTTATAAGATAATTAAAAGCTTATCTCTCGAATTCTAATAAGTTTAATAGAAATAATTTAGTTTTATATCTTTAATTTAAAAAAATTTTATAAATAAAGCTAGAAATTAATAAAATAATAATTAGTAAAAAAAATTTTAATACTAGTTTAAATATTTATTTAAAGAAGTAATAAGCCAGATATATTTGTATTTAGAATATATTTAGAAAAAAGAGAAATTTATAATTAAAGAATTATTTAAATAAATAAATTTTGCTTTTTATAACTTATAAAAGTTAATTCCTTTATATAA